CAAATCCTCAAAGAAACAACTGCCCAATAAGTAAGTGGGCGAAAGACTTAAAGAGAAGCTTCTCTGAAGAAGAAAGAAGGATGGCCAATAGACACATGAAGAAATGTTCAACATCCCTAGCCATAAAAGAAATGCAAATCAAAACAACATTGAGATATCACCTCACTCCAGTTAGAACAGCAAAAATCAAGAACTCTAACAACAACAGATGCTGGAGGGGATGTGGACAGAAAGGAACCTTACTTCATTGTTGGTGGGAATGTAAACTTGTTCAACCACTTTGGAAAGCAGTATGGAGGTTCCTCAAAAGACTCCACATAGAGCTCCCCAACGACCCAGCAATCCCACTTTTGGGCATTTACCCAAATGATCACAAACAAGGCCACACTAAAGCTACCAGCACAACTATGTTTATTGCAGCATTATTTACCATAGCTAAGACATGGAACCAACCCAGATGCCCCTCAGTAGATGAATGGATCAAGAAGATGTGGTATATATACACAATGGAATTCTATGCCTCCATCAGAAAGAATGACATTTCCCCATTTGTTAGGAAATGGAAAGGCTTGGAAAAAATTATATTAAGTGAAGTAAGCCAGGCCCAAAGAAACATAGGTCCCATGGTTTCCCTTATTTGCAATATCTAGTATAGGTATGAGTCAAGCAGAAAAAGTCAGATAATGTGATGTTAGGAAAACAAAACCTCAAATATGTATTTTAATGTTTTTGTTTCTTTCATGCATGTGTTTCTAATGCATTTATAAGATTATTTCTTTGTTGCTTTGTATGTCCCTCCCCCACAGTGTAACCCCTGCTTTCACTATATTTGATGTCAGTATAACATGTGGAGGAGACGGGGACAAACAAGTCGTTTAAGGATTCAGGTGGACCTGTTGCAACAATGAGAAGTACAAAATGTCATGTCAAAACCAGCTTTACAATGTCGGTGGGGGGGGGGGGAGGGGGGGTATGATTGGATGGGAGGGAGGGGGGAGGCTGGGAAGGGAGGTGAAGGGTAAACAAAGGAGGAGGATGCAATGCTTGGTAAGAAATGTATGCATTATCCTGCCCATGTAATTGTAACCCCTCTGTACAGTATGTTCTCAAATAAAATAAAATAAAATTTAAAAAAAAAAAAAAAAAGAAACAGCATAAGGATGGCTATTGATCAATAAATAGGGGGACAGAAGGTAGGCGGATGGAAAGAGAAAGCAATAGAGGATGGGGAAAGGCAAAGCAATAGATTAAAATATAATATGTGCATGTATAAAATACCATGGTAAAATTTCTGGGTACAATTAACACATATACAAATGAATGACAGGAAGGCAAATAGGTTCTGTTGGGGAGTAGGCAGTATCAGTAGGAGTGGAAAGGGCTAACAGAGAGGGTAAATGAGGATGAATATGGCCAAAGTAATCAATTTGCATTTATGGAAACAGAATAATACTGAAATTATTTGAAATTATTTTAGAAGGAGAGAGGAAGTAATAGTGAGAGAGTGGGGGTGAGTTTTATTAGGTTATTAGTTATTAGTTTTATTAGGTGTATGCATATATAGAAATGTCAACCACAAAAACAACAACAACAGAAACAACACCTGACCTGAGACATCAGCTTAAAAATACATATCTCTTGGACACAGGGATTGGCTCTGGGCAGTATGTGCTGTGGTTTGAATCTGATTCGCCCCTCTGAATCTTATGTTGGGGTTTATTCACCAATTTAAGGTATTAAGTAGTTGAAAACTTAATTCAATGATGACATTGACAAGTGGCACTTTAGGAGATTCAGATGAATAAGGTCACTGAGGTAGACCTCCTTTTATGATTTAATACTTGTGGCTTTATAGTTGGCTACCAGTACATACACACACACATACACACACACACACACACACACACATGCATGCATGCTTCCCATATCTTGACATGCGATGCTCTGTACCACCTTGGAAATCTGTCAACAAGAAAGCCATCATCAGGTGTAGCCCCTCGATCTTGGACCAGAATCATCAGCCAAAATAAATATTTTTTCTTTATAATTTATCCAGTCTGTGCTGTTGTGATGTTTTAACAACAGAACATGGACTCATCTAGTATGATGCAAAAATAGGATATGAATGTCTACCATTCCTGGACTGGCTCATTCATCCAAGCTGAGCAGTCCCTGCTACCATATAGCTATCACTTCATGAATTTATGTCATGTGTATATGTGAACTGCCTGGCATCTATGGAATTCCATTTCCCAATTCATGGTGATGCCACAGTGAAAAATAAATAGTCCTACTAATCATTGTTTTCAGTAGTCTCCAACTGAGGCTCTGTAGAGCTGCTGTAGAATTACTCAGGGAACTGATTAAAACTGTATACTTCTGGGTTATCTCCAGGTCAGATTCAGAATATCTGTGATAAAAATAGGGTTTAGCAAACAATGTCAGTATATTTAATATACATCATGTAAAAATTGAACTATGAAACTTGAGAGTATGGATGGGATGGGGAACGATGGAGGAGAACCATGGGAGGGATGATGTTGGTAAGATACATTGTATTCAAAAAGGGAACCCTACTGCATTATTGGTGGGAGTGTAAACTTGTTCAACTACTTTGGAAAGCAGTATGAAGGTTCCTCAAAAGAGCTCCCCTATGTCCCAGAAATCCCACTTTTGGGCATTTACCCAAATGATCACAAACAAGGCCATACTAGCACAACTATGTTTATCACAGCATTATTCACCATTATTCACATATGCACCATTTTGGAACCAACCCAGATGCCCCTCAGTAGATGAATGGATTATATACACAATGGAATTCTATGCCTTATCAGAAAGAATGACACCACCCCATTTGTTAGGAAATGGAAAATTGTATTTAAAAAATTATATTAAGTGAAGTAAGCCAGGTCCCATGGTGCCCCTTAGTTGCAATAATTAATATACATCTAGGATAATCTTACCAGACAAGCAGAAAACATGAAAATCTATGTACATATGACCATATAAGACGATGCTAAGCGAAATGAACCCCAAGATAGGGGCACAGAGGTTTTCTCGTTGTCGCTGTTGTTCTTAATTGACTGTGATTTTTTTTTTGTCTCTTTTGTATGTTTTTCTCCCATGTTATAACCCCAGTTGTCACTGTATTTGATTCCAGTGCCCTGCATCTTATGTAAACATTTTTCTAATTTGGGAAGGGGAGGGGTACAACTTTGGGAGGGAGGGAGGAATTGGGGAGGTGGGGACAGAAGGGAGAGAAGGGGAAAAACAAAGGAGGAGGTAACAATGCTTCATAGGAAATGTACTCATTACCTTACTCATGCAACTGTAACTCCTATGTACAGTATCTTTACAATAAAAATTTTTTAAAAAAAAAAAAAAAGATGCTAGCACAACTATTTGATACAATGTAGCTTAGTGATTAAATTCAGATCTATCTGTGTATGAAAATGACCGGAAATTTACCACTACACAGAGACTCAATTTTTTTTAAAAATTTCTCCTGTTCTTCCTGGCACAATGACAGAGATGATGTACTGCACAAGTACCTTGAGAAGATACAGAAGATGGACCACACTACCACAGGCAGGTGGCTAAAACAACCAATATTTATCTTTGCAGCTCTGGAGACTGTAAAGTCTAGCTTTCAGATGATTTGGTGTCTCTTGAGGACCCTCTTCCTGCCTTGGAGGCAGACACCTTCTTGCTGTGTCCTCACATGTCAAAAAGAGACCTCTAGGGGCTGGGAAGGTGGCTCAGTGGTAGAGCACTTGCCTTGCATGCATGAGGCCCTGGGTTCAACTCCCCAGCGCCACATAAGCAGAAAAAAGACGCAAGTGATGCTGTGGCTCAAGTGGTAGGGTGCTTGCCTTGAGCTAAAGAGCTGAGGGACAGTGCCCAGGCCCAGAGTTCAGGCCCCACAACCATCAACAACAACAAAAAAGAGAGAGACTTCTAGGATCCCTTCTTCTAGAGGCACTAATGGCGTCCAGGAGGCTCACAGGGACTGTACCTCACCACCTAGCAACTGCCAAAGGTGTCATCTTTAAATCACTCTGGGTTTTTTTGTTTATTTTGTTTTTTATGGTCAAGATGATGTACAGAGGGGTTACAGTTACATACATAAGGTAGTGAGTACATCTTGTCAAACTTGTTACCCCCTCCCTCATTTTTCTCCGGCTTCTACATGTAGACTTAGTGGGTATACAAACATCAGTCCAAAGTACACTACACAGCTTGAAAATTCTGAAATTAGTAACTCTAGAAAGCTGTCACTTTAACTCCACACTTCTTGCCTATAGACTTCCTGTTATATAAGAAAAATGAATTAGGTGTATAGTTGATATCATTTGATTTCTATCGTCTCTTGAACAGTCCAAACTAATTGAAGGTAAAACAGAATTCGTACCAGTTATGATAGCTATGATAGAAGAGTGGGGATTTTTTTATTCTTTCTGAGATATACTAGCAAAAGGGAACAAAATAATGTTGATATGAATAATTTAAAAAGATAAATGCAGTTGGGTGCCGGTGGCTCACGCCTGTATTCCTAGCTATTCAGGAGGCTGAGACCTGAGGATCACATTTCAAAGCCAGCCTGGGCAGGAAAATCTATGAGACTCTTATCTCCAACTAACCACCAGAAGACCAGAAGTGGTGCTGTGATTCAAGAGGTAGAGCATTTGCCTTGAGCTGTAGAGCTCAGGGACAGCACCCAGGCCCAAAGTTCAAGCCCCACAACCAAGAAAAAGAAAAAGAAAGAGGGGGAGGGAGGGAGGAAGGAAGGAAGGAAGGAAGGAAGGAAGGAAGGAAGGAAGGAAGGAAGGAAGGAAGGAAGGAAGGAAGGAAGGAAGGAAGGAAGGAAGGAAGGAAGGAAGGAAGGAAGGAAAAGAAAACTGCAGATGCACCAAGTTATACTAGAGTCTAACATTAGGGACAGCAGGTAAAATAAACATTTTTAAAATCAATTTTCTTAATGACCAGCCAAGTCTTACCTGGTATCTGTCAGCAGTGTGGCCCTTCAAAATGTTTGGTATGTCATCCATACACAGTCCATCTTTCTCACTCAGCCCCAGTGAATCACATAGCACAAACGGCAGGAATTTACCACAATTCTTATCCTTAATCCAGTATGTCCTATACTGAAAAGAGAAAAAAAAGGTAACTTTAGAGTATGTGTTTTTGCAGTAAACTGATATTTTAAAAAACTTACTAATGAAGTTGATTAGCAAAAGGCTTTCAGGTACTGTCCAATGAATTTGAAACAAAGAATAAAGGCATCAGAAGTGGTGCTGTGGCTCAAGTGGTAGAGCGCTCGCCTTGAGCTGAAGAGCTGAGGGACAGCGCCCAGGCCCAGAGTTCAAGCCCCACAACTGACAAAAAAAAAAAAAAAATTAAAGAATAAAGGCATAGTAGCATGAACATGCTTACCTTCTTAGATATCCCAGCTGCCTCAGAGCCCACCAAAGCCTGTTGTGTTACATGACCTTGGAAGACAGACTTCACTGAGTTGAAAAAGCTAGATTTCCCAGCTCCAAATGGACCCAGCAGCAGAATTCGACTTTGCGGAACCAGGTCTTCAAAGGGCTTGTAAGTTCTCAAGGCAGACAATAAACTATCTCTGAGACTATTTAAACACATTAAAAAATTAGATTTCAACAATTGAATGTAGTCAAATCATATAACCTTAGCACATCTAAATATAAAATGGGTGGGTGGGTGCTGGGTACCAGGTTTGAACTAAGGGCCTCAAGTTCTCACTCAGCTTTTTCACTCAGGGCTGATACTGCTTGAGACTCCAGCCCATCCTTTTAGCTGACCAATGGACACAGACCCTTACATACTTTTCTACCTGGACTGACTTAGAACAACAATCCTTAGATCTTAGACTCCTAAGTTGGATACATTATTCATTTTTATTAGCCGCTTGCCTTCTTGCATATAAAGACAAGAGACCACCCTATTGTTACCTGGGCTTGCTAACATATGTCCCAGCTATTAGGCTGGAGTAAGAAGGAAGAAAAATTTTTGCCTGAGTCAACTCAGGCAAAAAACAAAGAGCCTCTGTCTCAAAAATAAAATACAAATAAAAAAGAAAAGAAAAAAGAAAGGGCTGGCTTAAGTGGATGAACTCTTGTCTAGCATGCATAAGGACCTGAGTTTATTTACCATTACAAAAATCCTATTATTAAAGAAGGAAATGTAAAAATAACACTGCAGCCAAAACTAATCAAATGTAAAATCAATTCAGACCTAACCTTCTATGCCACATAAATCATCTGTGTTAAACATAAAGATAAACTAATCAATAATGAAATGCAAACATTGTATGTGACTTTGAAGTTTATAGAGGTAACAATTTCTATTATATTCTTGAAATCTATTAATGTATACTCTCTACCTGATAATTATTTGTTCCATTATTTGTTCCATTGTAATTCCTTACAGTTGAAACTGCTGAAAAAATTCTCAGCAAAACAGAGTCATATAGTCAAATAATTCTTTCCCTTCAAGCATATAACATAGAAATTAATTCCCTCCGTTGTGTTATTTTTAATGTAATATAGGTAGAATTTGGGCTTGTATTGATCCTGTGATGATTTGAATTATTGATTTTATTAGTATAACCTCTTTTAGAATAAACTGAAAATAAAGAAATAAGTAAAAGAAAGTTAACAACATTGACTTACACAGTGGCCCCTTCTATCTTTCTTTGGTCCAATAAATCTAGGGGAAAAAAAAATCATGGATATTTTAAGTTGAGTGGCTGACTAAATGAATGAGTGACTTCACTAAGAACAAATAGCCTTCTCATGCAAACAATTCTAAAGAGTTCAATCAAGTGGAGAAAGATGAAGACAATAAATGTTTTTTCATCCAGTTGAAGTTAAAGGATGGTCTAGTTTCTTTGAAAACATGCTAATAATCTTCTGTCCTAATAAACCAACTAATGATCTTTATAAGAGTGTTCAACTTTTCCATGATTGTCGTTAACAAGAATTGTGGTTAAGAATTACAGTAGCGGGGCACTGGTGGCTCACACCTGTAATCCTAGCTACTCAGGAGGCTGAGATCTGAGGATCATGGTTCAAAGCCAGCCCGGGCAGGAAAGTCCATGAGACTCTTATCTCCAATTTACCAGAAAATTGGAAATAGTGCTATGGCTCAAGTACCCACTTTGAGCTGAAGAGCTGAGGGACAGTGCCCAGACCCAAAGTTCAAGCCCTATGACCAACCAAAATAAATAAATAAATAACTTATAGTAAATAAATACAGTTTCATAGAATTTCTGAAGGTATGCCACCCTGGAAAAAATATTAGGAAAGATTGTAAGTAAAGCTTACATCATTTACCGTTGCTTATGACACTCAGTTTAACCTAGTACACTACAAGGTATAGATATAGATATTCACATACATATATCTTATTCATTATATATGTATTCATAAGTATATATATATATATGCATATATATATATATATATATCCTTCACTATGTAGAGTACATTTAAAAGGAATAAAAAGAATTTTAAAACCCCAAATTTAACTTCCTGCGCATGCATTACACTGCCCAGACAGAGGGGAGGAGTTCTCAGCCTCACACTATCCTGTTTTGTTTAAACCATTATTTGACATGTTGATTTCCTGTTCATGAATATCTATCTCTCCAACACCAAAAAGTGCTCCAAAAGAAAAGTAAAAGTACTTTAATTAAGTAAAAATTTTCAGATGTATTCAAAGTAGGATGTCTTTAGATGAAGTTAGGCATCGTAATGGGGAAAATGAATCTTTCAGTACAACACTGAATTCTGAGCACAAGTGTGTCTTCTGCAATGTATCCTCCTTGGAGCCAGACATTTGCCATTACCAAATCTCTGCTATGCCTCCTAGCCTAACTGCTCTCCAGTATGGAAGAAGGAGGTCCATAACTTCACTTAAAATCTATGACTGTTGTTCTTATTTAGGAAGCTCATGTCCAGTTTGGCAAAGTATGCAGACAACCATAGAGAATAGCCCAGAACTGTTTTTTTTTCTCTAGAGAGTTAATTCAGGGCCTCATGCTTGCTAGGTAAACACTCTAAAGACTTGAACCACACCCTAATCCTTCTGTTTTTCATTTGTTTTGGGGTTAGGTTCTCATACTTTCGCCAGGGCAACACCTGGACCACATTCTTCCTACCTCTACTTCCTAAGTGACAGGGATTATAGGTATGAACTGCCATGCTTGGCACTTCTCTGAGATTCTTTTTTTTTTCTTTTTTTTTTTTTCAGTTGTAGGACTTGAACTCTAGGCCTGGGTGCTGTTCCTCCACTCTTCAGCTCAAGGCTAGCACTCTACCACTTGAGCCACAGCACTACTTCCAGTTTTCTGGTGGTTTATTGGAGATAAGAGTCTCACGGTCTTTCCTGCCCTAGCTGGCTTTGAACCATGATCCTTAGGTCTCAGCCTTCTGAGTAGCTAGGATTACAGGAGTGAGCCACCAGTGCCCTGCTTCTCTGAGATTCTTGATGGTCACTTTCTTTAAGAGTATTAGTACAACTTGAAAATAGGTAAGATATTTAGTTACTAGAGTCATATTTGTCACTCCAATCCTTGTATTAATTCAATTGCACAGATATAATATTGAATGAAGGAACCAGACTCAAGACAGTATATAATTGGTATACTTACATAAATATATATATATATAATATTCAAAAAAAGTAATATGCCAGGCTCACAGTTCGAAGACAGCCCAGACAGGAAATTCCATGAGACACTTATCTCCAATAAACTACTCAGAAAAAGTCAGAAGTGGTAGAGAGCTAGCTTTGAGCAAAAGAAGCTCAAGGACAGTGTGTAGGGCTAGAATTCAAGCCCCAGGACTGGCAAAATAATAATAATAATAATAATTAATGTTTATATGACAAGATAATTGTTTATTTTTGGTAATAAATAGAAATAGTCATGAAGAAATCTACTGAAATAAAAAATATAATGATGATAATCTTCATCTGTCTTGAGATTACAAAAGAGTGTTCACTATGTAAAAGCTTTTGAGTGGTAATGTAGCTATTAAGCATTGTGCTTTACTTCACTAAAACTTTATTTAATTGATCCAGGACATATAACATCATGATATGCTCATGTTTAACTTCTAGATTTTCAAAAACTGAAAATTTTTAATGAGTAGAACAATCAGAAAAGAAATCAAAGTCACTCAGAGGAAAACAAAATATGTAATAAGAAATAAACTTAATTATAGGCTCTTCTCTACACCTTCAATATTGTCCAAATATTAGAATACTCTCCAAAATAAAATGTAGTCAGAGAATGACCCACTCTGCTGGTCATTCACCACAGGTAGTTAGATTGGAACAAATTTTTAAATGTCCAGATATAAAAAACTATTTCATAGAATAAATTGAAGTAGTCGATGCACATAGACTTGTTAGTGATCAGGAATAAACAAAAATAAAAATGATTCCTTATTCATCAATGGCAAATATTCTCATATTTGATGATATCAAAGGTTATCAAGAATACTGGGAAACAGACATAACACTACTGGAAATGATATAGATAATTGAAATTTAAAACAATATCTATTCAAATCTAACTAAGCTGCAATTCTACTTTCAGGTAGTCAATACAAATGAGTTTTTATAAACAAATGCCTATATAATGATACTGTAAGAACACTGAACAGCATGAATATCCTTTAGTAGGAAAGTAAATTCATTTTGGTCTTTTGGAATAGTAAAAAAGTCCAATATCGAAACAAGTTAAATTTACAGAATAGAAAAGAGATTTTTTTGCAGCTATACAACAATGTGGCCTAATAACCAGTAATAAAAGGAGATCAAGAAAGTAAACCTTCAAAGATTCAAGATCCCAACTAAGAAATGAGCTAAGGAACTAAATACATAATCCCAGAAGAAGAAATAAAAAAGACAATAGACACAAGAAGAAGCACTAAACATCTCCAGCCACAAAGGAAATACAAAACAAAACACTGAGATTCCACCTTACCCCATAAGAATGAGCATCAACAAGAATACAAACAACAGAATCTGGTGCAGATATGGGGGAAAAGAAGCCCTAATATACTGTTGGTGAGAATGTAAATTAAGACAACTACTCTCAAAAGTAGTTTGGAGATTTCTCAAAAAATGAAACAGAATTACCTTATAATTCAGCAATACAATTCTTGTGCATCTGTCCAAAAAGGCTAAAAATTAGGATGCAATAAATCCACATATATGAATGAATTTTAAAATGTATAAGATAATGGAGTATTATTCAACCCTAAAAAGGGAGGAAGTTCTGCCATTAGGAACAATATGTAGGATATTATAAATGAATATGCCAAACATAAAAGGGAAAATACTTATAATCTTGTCTACATGAATAATCTGAATCGCCAAATTCATAAAAGCCAACATTTAGACGATGGCTTCCAGGGGCTATAAGGAAGAAAGGAGATATGTTAGCCAAAAAAATACCTTCAATTATGCAAAATAAGTCCTGGAGATGTACTGTACAACATAACATTAATTAATAAGATTGAGTTTAACATTTCATCTTGTTAGGAGGTGAGATATTCTGTTAAATATTAACTACAAACACATACTTGTGTATGTATATACATATATTCATATATATGCATCTATCTGTAAATAATATATGAATATGTGTATATATATGTATTCATTTAATTATAGTTGTACTTTAGCAAACAGTTTGTGCCCTGATTTTAGTGTTGGTCCAACTGTCTAGATGTAAGGCAAGAGAAATTATCACTTTTTTTAAAGCAATACTCAGAAACTATCAAACATTCAAAAAGAATTCTAAGTAGAATTATTTGGTTAAACCTACCTTCACATCGAAAGACTTCACACTCCTCAATGGAAATAGTAGAATTTTCAAGTAATCCAAGTTTTTTATTTATATCCTTCTGCAGAATCACCTTTTTATCACTTAGTTGTACAGAGAAGTTTGAATAAGGGATTCCAAAAACTGGGTCAGCATTGAGCAAGGCAATCGGTTCATATGGTCCTATTTTACATTCTGAAATTTTAGCATTTTGAAGTACAAAAACTGTGCTGAAATCTCTCTTTTCTTCCTGATAACTCTGTTCCATGTATGTTCCAAAAACAAAACACTTATTGTACATCACAGTTAAAGTTGGACCTTGGGTAGAGCATCTTTGCAATAAAGCAGAATTGGAGAATCCATGGACACTAGCCTTATAGAGAAGGCTAAATTGTTTTCCTCCAAAATAATTTTGCAGAGACTTTTCTTCCAGCCAAGTCAAGCATGTTTTCACTTCCATACTTCTCAATCTAGTAGGAAATCCAACAGACATTCCATTAAATATTTTAAAATAGATCTTTTTTTCATTTTATTTTATTTTATTTTATTTTTGTGAACATATTGTACAGAGGGGTTACAATTACATGGGCAGGATAATGCGTACATTTCTTATCAAGCATTGCAGCCTCCTCCTTCGTTTACCCTTCACATCCCTTCCCAGCCTCCCCCCACTCCCCCCAATCCCCCCCCCCAATGTTGTAAAGCTAGTTTTCGACATGACAACTTGTACTTCTCATTGTTGCAACAGGTCCACCTGTATCCTTAAACGACTTGTTTTTCCCCATCTCCTCCACAAGTTATACTGACATCAAATATAGTGAAAGCCGGGGTTATTCTGTGGGGAGGGATTTTAAAATAGATCTATGTCCATCAAGCTCACAGTTATTCTAAATTTCCTCTACAAATCACATGTAATCAATAAACAGAGTGAACAGGCAGCAAGAAAATAAAACTCCAACTAGTCATCTTAAAATACATGTGTGTGTGTGTGTGTGTGTGTGTGTGTGTGTGTGTGTTTAATTTTAGTAAAGAAAAAGAAAATAAGCCAGGCTATGAGAAAGGAGGTAGGTAATTGTAGGAAGAGGTCAAGGACATCAAAAGGCAGAAGGAGTGAATATGGCCCGGGGAAGGTATAGACATATATGGAAATAGAACAGTGAAACAAACCTGCTGAAATTGTTTAAGAGGGAGAATGAGAGCAAGCTGAGAGAAGTGATTTTGATGTATGTATGCATAAAAATGTCACAATGGATGCCTCCTTCTACAACTAATATATGGTTATAAAACATCTTTTTTTGAAAAAGAAAATTCTCGATGGCTAGTCATTTTAAAAAACAGGTCACTTACCTGTCTGAAGAATCTGCACAAAAGCTGAAATTTAGCGTTAGTGTCTAATAACTAGGCAGGCTCGAAGTGGGGGAAATGTTCGGGAAGATGGAACTTCTGAGCCTTGGGAAAGGAAAATGAAACTCAGTAAGCCCTGCCCATTAGGCAGGCTGCCAAGTCCTCATGCACTGCCCCAGCAATGAATAATGCGGCTCACTTCAGATAGTACAGGCAGTTTTAAGTTGATCGACGTCCATTCTTCAGTTCTCTGTTACCCACACAGATCCTATATCCTCTATACTTGAGTGGTTTTAGTGAACTTAGTTAACTTGCAGGGCCAGAAAGGAATTTAAGTTCCTGACATCTTGTATATATATTTTTCTAATTTGGAGAGGGAAAGGGAAATAACAAAATGCTGAAATAAGGATACAGGATGACCCATTGTAACAATGAGATGTACAAGACACTGTGTTGAAAACGAACTTTACAACTTTTGCCGGGGGAGGGGGGGGGAGGGAAGAGAAGTAGGGGAAAAACAAAAGAGGAGGTAACAATGCTTGATAGGAAATGGAATCATTACCTTGCTCGTGTAATTGTAACCCCTCTATACAGTATCTTTACTATATATTTTTTTAAATAGCTAAGAAAACTAACAATAACAGATGCTGGCAGGGATGTGGCCCAAAGGGAGCACTAATACATTGTTGGTGGGAATGCAAACTTGTTCAACTATTCTGGAAAGCAATATGGAGGTTCCTTAAAAGACTAAACATAGACTTCCCTATGACCCAGCAATCCTATTCCTGGGCATTTATCCAATTGGACATAAACCAGTCCAGCACAACTATATTCATTACAGCATAGTTTACCATCTTCAAAATATGGAATCAGTCCAGATATCCCTCAGTGGACAAAGCAATTGAGAAAATGTTGTATATATATGCAATGGAGTTCTATGTTTCCATCAGAAAGAATGATATTGCCCCATTGGTAAGGAAATGGCAAGACTTGGAAAAAAATTATATTAACTGAAGCTAGACCAAAGAAACCAGACCCAAAGAAATATATGTGCATGGTTTCCCTCAGTTGTAGTAATTAGGATGTGCCTATAAATCTACAAATAAACACAATGGATAGTAAAAGACAAAAAAAATATTTGGCCATGAAACGTTAAACTTGACTCTCAATATTCACTTAAAGTGAGCAGCCAATTTCAATTGATAAGAGCAATCAGTCCTGCTCCTCCAAGTCCTGCTCCTCTCATCCTCTTTTACAAGTCCTGAATATTAAAAATGATACAAGTCAGTAGAAAAGTAGTTCTATAGAACTTGCAGATGGCATGATAAGTCAATAAGCACAAATCTGTAGGACAATTAAATGGGGACTGGGATCTATAAAAGAACAAGGAGATAAGAATGATGAAAAATGTTCTCCTAAGAATATCCTCCTTTTGTCTCCCTCTGTAAAGGTCTTGGGTCCTGTATAATTTCTCATGCCCAAGTATATTTTTTGTGTTTTTCCATCCAACAATAATTATGTGCATATGATTATATAAAGTGACATTTAGCAAGAAATGGAAAAAAGAGATTGTGGTTATTTTGCTTCTTGTTTTTTCTTTTTTCAACTTTGATGTTTTTTTTTTTTGTTTTGTTCTGTTTTCTGTACTTTTTTGTCTTGTGTGTAAGTTTATCTACTTGGAGGAGGGTGAGGGGGCACAGAAATGGTGGGACAAAGGGTGAACAAATGCAGCAGTGATACTCACTAGACACTATGTTGAAAATGAATTATGTAACTTGGGAGGTGGAATAATTGGGAGAAAGTGAGAGAAGGGGTGATACTGTTCAAATGGAAATTTACTCATTACCTGACATGTGACTGTAACCCCTCTACATCACTTTTACAGTAATGATTCTTTTAAAAAAAAAGAATAAAAGAATATGGAGATAAGGATTCAATAGTAAATCTTTGTATTACAACCTTTCAGGAAACAGAAAGGAGACCCATCAATCAACAAACTACCTTCAAGGATTCCAAATCTCACTATTCCAAACCTCAGGCCAACTCTGTAATGAGAAAGAGGGTGCAAAATGATTGGCATGTGCTGAAATGCTGTCTTCTCTTAGTAAATCTAGGATACATGTTTTCTTTCTCTGCCATATTTCTCATTTAATAAGTTTCCTATCATCAATACTTATCCCCACTCTTAAATTCTTTTGCCAGACCCAGTAACAAGGTAGCTGCCCTAAATTTTTGGTGCATTTGACAGGAAGTTAGGAATTAAGTATGTCTTTTTCTGACGTGGTCTCATCCAATGGTTACAAAAGGACTATTTAGAAGGTCTAAGAAAGTGTGACTATAAAAGTAGAGTAAAACCATAAGAATGAGTCACCTTGGAATTAAGCCATCCTAGAAGGACGAAGTGACTGATGGTATCCAATAATGAGACTTACGTTCAAAGCTCCCTCTTCTATACATTAGAAAAGAATCTCTTCCTGGGGAGCTGTGAGTTTATCTACATTTGTGAACAAAAAGCATTTGAGTGGTACTCCTCAGATGAGATTTTCTCTATGAATTGTCCTAACTTTGAGAAGCTACGATGGGGATTGCAGAATCATTTTGAGCATTTATATAAGACAACTTTCTTGTTATTCCACTTTGGACATAGTTTTCAACTTAATTAATTAAAATCAGGCAGGCATGACTCAATTAGAGGAAAGAAAAATCTTTATTTTTTTCACAGAAATAAAATGTTAACTTGCTAAGTAATGTTGGTATTTTTCTTTCATTTGAACTCAACTTTTTATAGATATTCATATTTAAATCCAGATATATGCAAAATGTTCTCCCTTCCTTATTTTTTTTATGTCTTCTCTCCAGTGGTTCATTCTTTACCAGTCTTTCGATCTCTGTGGAGAAAAAAGTTTAGTAAATGTTGCCCCTCTAAAACAAGTGGGCCAGAAGAAAAATGACAAGTATGCTAGCTGATTAGCAGCCACTCTGCTAAACTCTGTGACTAGAAAGGTAAAAATCTTACTTCTGTTTCTATAGAAAGCACAATCTATTTAGAAATGCATTTACTGTATGATCATTTTCTAACCATTATTCACACTGATTAGTACTTTATTAATATTCTAGAAAACAAACTAAGGGCATAATAATTCATTTTTCCTCAAGAGATTGAAAAAAATCGCACAGAAGCGCAATTGTAAGTAGTACAGAAACATGGAAGATGGTTTGTAGATATCACTGCTCAGGGTTGACCTTCAGATTTGAAGAGTGACTGATCCTGGAGGAACCATCATTTAGATGCTGTCAAAGACAAAAGGTAAAACATGAGCAAAAGCAGAGTCTGAAGGAGGCTGTCACTAGATTGACTATAACCAGAGTATCCCATTCAGGACTGGGCCAAGTGTTAGAATACAAGAAACCAAGGACACAAGGACACATTTCAATCCTGCACATCCATCAGGAAATAAACCAAGACAAGAAATGAAGCATGTATCTTAACACAACAGTCAAGATTAAGCAGACAAACCATAGCCATCCAACTAAAACACAGCTGAAAGTTTTCAAATGAGCCAAGTGCTTTAGAAGAGATGCAGAAAGGGGTTAGATTACCAGTTTCCTCCAGAGGCAAATCTTCTAAGAAGTCATCAGCATTCCGAAGCATCTGCCTCAGGGCAGTGAGGATCAGAACATCCTTTATTGGGTCCAGTTCCTTCTTGGAAGCAGAATTTCCAATCATCAAGATATTACGAACAGGAATGTTTAACATTTTATTGACAGTCATTACCTGTGGAAAATATATTTAAGAAGCATGTCATATTTGTAAGTTGACTAAATTTTAAGTGTATTAATGAACAAAGCTGAAAAAGGCAATGTTTTGGGGCAACACGGGAGGTATGTGACAGGCATCTAGGGCCGCCTCAGTTGGCAAGTTAACTGTGTCATGGTGTTATGATGTCATCTAATAGCAGAGCTACTGGAATCCCCAGTCTTAAAGTAAAATGCTGACAGCTTTCCAGCACAGATGATGGCCACATTGACCTTAAGTTTAAGAAAAGCCCACCTAAGATCCCTCATAAGGACCATCATACTGTTTTTGATTGGAGCTTTTCTTTTTTTTCTCCCTACCATCTCTTTCTTCCCCATTCCCCAACTCCTCCACACAAACAACTCCAACACAAAGTTGTAAAATTCATTTTCAACATACTGTCTTGTACATCTCATTGTTACAATGGGTCATCCTGTATCCTTGTTTCAGCATTTTGTTATTTCCCTTTCTCTCCCCAAATTAGAAAATGTATATATAGGATGCAGGATAACGGAATCAAATACAGTGACAATAGGGTTGTACCATGGGGAAAGAACATACAAAGAAACAAAAAAAATCACATAGTACATTATAAGTGCATTAAAAAGCACCGCAAGAAGGAGCTTTTCTCATTATAATAGGCTCCCTCCTGCTGTTGGGCTGCATCAGCAAAGATGGGCAGACCGGGCCATTCCTGTCTTGAGTATTGGCATTCTGGTATTCCTGCCAGGATTTTAACATTTGCACATCACCTACTATGCATTCAAAGGCTACCAGGGCTACTCCTATGGTAACATCCCAGATTTTGATGACTAGCACTCATCTCAGCCCTGAGAAGAATCATAGTGTGACTGCACCCAGCGTTAGGATATTGAACAGAAACCATAGATAAGCACTGAAAAATTCTGCGCTTTGCAGGTGTTTAGAAAACAATGGCCAGATTCTATGAGTCCATCACAAAAGTGTGCACTAAGCTTACAATTAGCTAATTAGGACATGCTCTGTTCTTCATCTCCTGGCCCTGGCAAAGCTCAAGTTTTTCCACACAAATATGTATCATGGAAGAATAGTAAGGTTAATTGTCTGGTAAAGCAGGAGATTATTCTGTAGTGGAAAATATTACCACTACCAGCTCTTTAGAGTTGAAATCTCATAAATACCCTTCATTATTGATTTTTTTCCTTATAACAAATGGAAAAACGTAGCATGTCTAATTTCTTATTACTAAGTAATTTATTTTTAAATATCTTAAGTATTATGTCTCCTACATTTTTCTCTACTTTCATGTTGAGGTGAAAAAAAAAAACATGGTAAAAATCCATCTATAATTTCTTTTTTCTTATCAATAGAAACCAAGACTTCTTTAAATTGCCAAGTAGTTTTCAAAATGTTAAGCACTTTCTCTGATAACCAATCGTTGGCCAGCTCTGAACTAATTTCCTCACAGGTTGGTCAACATAATTTGGCTCATTCTATCCTGTGGAGATCAAGAAGTTCTGCATATCATACCTTTAAGTACTGGACATTTGGCTGCTTATTAATGAGAAATGTTGATGGGTGATTACTATTAAGAGTTTATAACCATATTGCTAACACTTTTTACTATGATCTTGTTCTGCTAAAGACTGCAATTCTTCCTGGAAGATTAAATTGCTTTTCAAGTTAATTCTATTTCCTAGCTTGCAAAAAAGTGACGTTTTTCAAGAGGAAATGCCAAAATACAAATTCTAGACTTAAGTGAACTAGAAGCAAGATTTTTTTAAAGGCAATGGCTTGATAAATTCTCTTCAGAATTTAATTTTATCTCTTATAATTACTATTTAAAAGTGAGATATAAACTTGAATGAACAGGTAATTCTTCCAATCCTCTGTGTGTGTGTGTGTGTGTGTGTGTGTGTGTGTGTGCATGTTGCACACACATGTGCAACAGTACTAGAACTTGAATTGTCACTCGAACTTGGCTTGTTTTAGTTATCTGGTGCGCTACCACTTGAGCCATGCCTCCACTTCTGGGCTTTGTGCTGGTTAACTGGAGATAAGAGTCTAAGATATTTGTCTGCTCAGGCTGGCTTTGAACAGGCTCTCACCCTCTTGGGAAGAATCAGCTCTCAGCCTCTTGAGAAGATAGCATTATAGGCATGAGAACCCATCAGTAAGCTGTTCCAGTTCTTTATTCATCTATGAATGTGTTGCATGAACACACAGGGATGCACACAGAGTATGACTGTGCTTCCATTATCATGAATAATAGGTATAAGCATCATTCTTTACCTGATTTTGAGACGTTGCATAACTTGTCATGTTTAAAAAGTTACTTTCAAGAACTTCATCACAATTATTTACTTTTGTAAGCAAGGCTACATGTGCTACACCTGTATCAAAGAGATAAATCAGTTATTTTATATCACAAATAAGATATATCAGTACAAATTCCACACTGAAAAAGAGAGATCAAGTGGATAATAATAATCAAATAAATAAAATAATTAAAATTTTTTCTTCTTTGTTCTAGTCTACTGGGAGTTGTATATGCTTCTGTTAAATAGGTAAGATTCTCTATCTTAAGAGTGGGAAGTTCTCAGCTATTATTTTACTGAATAGATTTTTGATACCTTTACTATTAAATTCTTCCCCTTCATTGATCCCAATTATATGTAGATTTGATTTCTTAGCTGAGTCTGCCAATTTCTGGACTCCTCTTCAGTAGGTTCTGAATGTTTTTTTCCATACTTTTGACTTTTTGTTCTAGCTCCTCTGTTTTACCCTTGACTCCTTAAGTTCTCTTTGACAATTCACTTATTTTGTTACTTATGGATTACACTGTGGTTTGCATTGTGGAAATTGAACTTTCTATGTTTCTGAGATCAGTTCTCATAGTGTCCATTTCATCTTTTAATGTGCTGTATAGCATGTCTATGTTTCTCTCCATATCTTTCTGGGTGTCTTGGATTTTCTTTGTCACTTCTTTGAGCTTTTGAAGTTGTTTTTGCATTCCCCCTTTTATTTTATTAACCAATTCTGTCATCATTTTTTAATGGTTCTTTTGTCTTCCATCTCTTCTTCATTCTCACTGGAGTCCTTCGCTGGATTGTGGATGGATTTGGTTTCTTGTATTGATTGCTCATGAATCTTGTAATTTTTCATTATGATTTAGGGATGTGGGTTCATATATTGTCAGGGCCTTGGTCCCAGTTTGGCCTATTTGCGACTAACAAGTGGCAACCCTCACTTGGCTTGGACTAGTTCACACTGGGTAGGCTAGCCCACACTGGGTCCCAGAGCCAACAAACACCTGTGCACATGCTCAGCCCAGAGCTAGTTTGAGGGAGGTCAGTCAGGTCTGTGGCAGAGAGTGGAAAGGTTAGATTCAGGTCTCTGAGATGGACCTGCACCGGCCCTTCTGTTTCCCAAAGCCCGAGTCGCTATACTCATAGCTGATAAAGGAGACTTCAAAGCAAAATTTGCCATAAGAAGGTCACTTCACATTAATGAAGAGAAAAATTCATCTACAACTGTTAATATAAATGGGTCAAACCTTGGTATGCCAAACTTCATCAAACAACACTGCTGGACCTAGAAGCACAGATAGATCCCAAACACAACAAAAGTGTCTCAATAATAAATATTGTCTCAACAATATATAGATCATCATAACAAAATATCAACAAGGAAATCTCAGGATTAAATGACATTATAGACTAAATTGTCCTCAAGACATCTATGGGGTATTCCACTGGACACAATACACATTCTTAAAGTAGCTTATAAACCTCCTCCAAATTATATCATATTCTAAGATTTAAAACATGTTAGAAAATATAAGAAATTGAAGCAAAATCCTGTAGCTATCAAACCATAATGTAATTGAAACATATTCCTCAACATGGAATATTACCAACAATAAAAGAAGAGTGACCAATCAATTCACACAACACCTAGGATGGACTTCACGGGATATTAAGCCAAGTTAAAAAACATCTAGTCTCATAAAAGGTGACATACCATATGATCTCATTTTCATAACATGCTCAAATAAATAATTATGGAGAGAAGACATCAATAATTCTCAGTAGTTAAAGATGCTCTCTGTACTCTCTTTTCAGCTTTCTATGAATTATAATCATTTCAAATTTTAAAATGTTTTTATAGCAGGACAGCAGTGGCTTATGTCTATAATCCTAGATACCCAGGATGCTGAGATCTGAAAATTATACTTCAGAACTAGCCAGGAAGACCAAAGTTTAGCTTTATCTTTTTTTTTTATTTAGGTATCAAAAAGCTGGAAGTAAGGAGTGGCTAAAGTGGTAGCGTGCCAGCTCTGAGCAAAAAAAGCCTAGCAAGAGCATGAGCTCTGAGTTCAAGCCTCAATATCAACACACACACACACACACACACACAAATTATACAATGAAACTTACCACAATTCAATACTTCTTTGTGAATTTGTTTGAGCTTTGAAATCATTTGAGTGGAGAGTTTGTCAACAGAGTTGATATCTAAGACATATGCCACACAGTGAATCCTGTTCAGTGATGAAGATGTAACAGGAGAAAGATGTTTGCATGCAATTGGTTCACGTGGATTAAACTGATATAGAAACATAAGAAATATTCAGAACTCAGAATTCCTGCTTAACTTTTTAAGACACAATTCATATAGCCAAAGCTATTGCTACTTGACCTCTACCCTAAAACTCTTCCTCCTGATCCCTAGCTATTCTACTCCTCCTGGTTAGTCATAACCCTTCATCACTCCATTCTACTGTTAGCATAAGGTCACTGTAACTTCCTAATAGAACAAGAACACTATTACTCTGGTAAAATTTGCACTTACCAACTATAATTCTTTCAGGGAATTATAATTTAAAAAAAACTAGAATTCTAATGTCCATTAACTTCATTTAAGTATCCTCTGTAAGTCTTCTGTCTGCTTAAGTGCATTAATTAGTTGTAGAGAGTAAAAAAGAGAAAAATATTGTGAAATAGCATTTAAACTAATGTTTTTTAACCATTTAAACTATGATTTCTTATAGTCTTGCAGAGGGAAAGAAACTGAATTGAAAGAAAAGAAATATCAACTTTCAAGTTAATGTTTCCTTACCGTAAGGCAATATGCTCTTACGTTGAGGAAACTGAGTAGAAAATATCCCAAACCTTGGAAATACTCAGCTTTTAAGCTACAATAGTTCTATGTTGGATTATCTTCCAGTTGTGAAAAAATACAGTTTTGGTATGCTGGTATTTTCCCTACTCCTCTGTTCTTCTCCCTACATCTTTATGACTTATCTTTCTCATTTTTTGAGGAACTCTTTCAGAATAAGGTGTGTGTGTGTATGTGTATGTGTGTGTGTGTGTGTGTGTGTGTGTGCGTGTGTGTGTGTGTGTGTGTAACTGATTGTTTTCAATAACTATATGGCTGACACCAATGCTTTGTAATAAATGGTTTGGAAATGCATAAATGGTTAAGGTTTTCAATCAAGCAAAATCACTGTTTAGGAAGTTAGTCTGATTTTATTACACCTAATTCCTGAAGGAACTTTTGGGAGACTTACAGCACATCGTCTCATCTAATATCAACTACCTTATCTGGTGGATAGTACTAAAATTATATTTAAGATAATTTTACATGTAAGGCTAAGAGAAACAAGTATCTGACTTCCTTATATATATGTATTTATTCAGTGTCAGTGCCAACTTTTGTATCTAGCAATTAAGTAATGAGACCTAAACATTTATGGTATAATATTACACTCTAATAGTAGTTACATATTCTGTGTTTTATCTACATCAACAAACAAGTGCAAAAGAGAAAACCATTACTTTGCTGTGAGTTCTCAGTTATATAATATGGACACAAATATAATATCCTCTTGACCTTTTTGAGGAATAGAGTAGAATCTTACCCTTTGGCTTTATTTCTTAATGATATAGACCAGAACAAAAGTCACTCTATATTTCTTACAAATATACTTATTCATTTAAAATGGAACAGTATTTGTGGCTGTGGAACCATATTATAGCAGTTGAAATAGTCTAATAGGGTAAAAAGTCACTGAAAGGTACTGATGAAAATTACTTTAAACATGTTGGAATTGAAAAAGTCTTACTTGATATCTGTCTGGCACACAGCCTTTTAGGATGTGAGGTATGTCATCTGTGCACAATCCTTCACCATCCCTCTCATCAAGGCCCATGGTATCACACACCATAAATGGCAGATATTTTCCATTTTTTCCATCTTTAACAGAATATATCCTATACTATAACAATACACGTAATGGGTTAATGAACTCTCATGCTACGCAGAGGGGTTACAGTTACATGAGTAAGGCAATGAGTACATGACTTGTCAATCATTGCTACCCCTTCCCCTGCTGTTGTCCCGCTATTCTTTCCCTCCCTGCCTCCCACACTCCTCCTCACCCCACCCAACTCCCCCCCCCCCCGAAGTGTAAAGTTTGTTTCCAATATCTTGTCCTGTGGTATTCTTAAAATTTGTTGATGATCTCAAAAATATTACCTACGGGGTAATGTCTTTGTATCAAAGATAGTAAAGGATAAAACTAAAATATTAAATGTCTCTTTTTGTAAACAGATAAAATTACAAGTACTATGTACAACATTATGTTTTGAAGTACACACACATGATGGAATGACAAAAATCTAGGTCACCCACATATACATTGCCTTACATAGTAAATTTTGTGCTGAAAAAGTTTCTATTCACTCCCAACATTATCCAGAAATACATATCCCATATAACATATATATATATATATATATATTTTTCATATAGTCATCATGCTGTACAATGAATCTCTTGATCTTGTAGAAGTTTTTATATAGGAAATCTTATTCTCCTATTTATCCTAACCTTATTTTATTCTATTTATCTTGTTTCTTTGACCAAAACCCCAATTTTCCCCTCCCAATTTTCTTCATGTAGATATACAGTTTTTCTTAAGACTATTTGTTGAAAAAAATATCTCACTATTATTTGTTCTCCACACTACATCTTTCTTGAAAATAAATTGGCTACATATGCATGAATTTATTTCTGGGATTCCTTTCTGTTCCATTAGTGTGGCCTTATGTCTATTTTTCCAGTACCATGTTGTTTTGATGCTATAGTTTTGTAACATATTTTGAAGTTGGGTTGTACAATGTCTACCATTATAATCACGCATTATGATGCATGACTGTACATAAAAACAATCTTGTCTCCCCAAAACACTTGTAATACAAAGGAGAAAGCATTTATTGTAATAGCTTTGGACAATTATTAATGTTCTTCATAACAATGTATCAATATTCAATGACTGACAATTTCTTAAATATGCGATGAGAAATCTTTAATGTTTGCATACTCTGCCACATTAAATGCATTTGTCTCCTTATCAAAGGGACTAAGTTGCCTGTAATGCTAGTTACTCAGGAGGCTGAGATCTGAGAACTGCGGTTCAAAACCAGCCCTTGGAAGGAAACTCTGTGAGACTCTTATCTCCAATAAACCATTCAGAAAACCCGAAGTGATGCTGTGGCTCAAGTGGTAGACTGCTCACCTTGCACTAAAGAGCTGAGGGATAGTGCCCAACCCCAGAGTTCAAGCCCCATGACTGACAAAAAAAAAGGGGGGGGGGAGTAAGTCTAACTATTAAAATACACTCAAGAATATAGGCCCTAACCAACTCCAACAGCAAGAAACAATATTTGATTTACAGAAGTCCAAGAAAATGCTTCTTGTTATTGAACATGGCACAAAACCTAAACTGAATCTTTTTAATATGTTTTTATTGTAAAAATAGTGTACAGAGGTGTTACAGTTACATGAGTAAGGTCATGAGTACATTTCCTATCCAGCATTGTTACCTCCTCCTTTGTTCTAAACTGAATCTTTATTACCTTGTGTTAAATTTGTATTGACAACCAATAGAATTTTCTCCATCAGGTAACTATGTTAGTATAGTAATCACAGAAAAACAAAGCTTGATTTCTGACATTTTCTCTTCATTTCATTGATTATTTTTGTTTGATTAGTGATAATTTCAGAGTCAGAAGTAATACAAAAGGGAAGTTCTAGATAAATGCTGTAGCATAACTGGTATATTTTTAGAGCAATAGTAAAGAAAACAGAATACAGATGTTTCCTTAAATAAGCCTTGTTGTTTTCTTAAATTATGTAGATTTTATAGAAGATAGATTTACTTTGGAAGACTAATGAACCAAACAAAACTTGTGTTTTTCTCTCATGATTATTTCCTGTTGACTAGTCATGTGTAGTAAAGAAGCTATTCTATTGCATATTCTCATTCTTTTGGCATAAAATATTTCCAACTTGGTAAAAACTGATGGAAAATATAATCAATAAGATTTTGATACAGTTTTCAAAATTTTGTTTTTTTCACAACAAATATCAACAAGGTATTTTTCATATAACTGCTTCTTAAATACACACACACACACACACACACACACACACACACACTCACATCTCTGCTTCTCTACTCCATAGAGATAATTCTGATTTTACACTTACTTTACAACTGATTCCACATTTAATTTTTGACAGATTAAGAAAAGTTTTATATTCTGAGATAGAATGGCAAAAAATGAACAAATATAATAATGGTAACCTTAGAACAAATATAATAATTGTAACCTTAGAAAATCCCCAAGTAACTTACTTGCTCAGTAATGCTGTTATAACTTGAGCCTACTATGGCTTGACGAGTTGTATGACCTTGAAAAACAGACTTCACGGAGTTGAAAAAGCTGGACTTCCCAGAGCCTACTGGACCCAGTAACAGAATATGAATTTCTGAAACCGAGTCTGTATAGGGTTTGTAGGCGCGAAGCTCTGCTAACAACTTTTCTTTGTGACTATTAAAATACACCAAACACAATAAACTTCCATTAAAAAAAAGTACAATTAATCTGGGGCCTCTTTCTCTTTCCTTTTAACAATTGTTTTAGTTACTTACTACTTTTATAGTAGCATCTTCTATAGAATACTAAGCACCTAAAAAGTTATGTACTTTGTGCATTAAGAGAATATATATATATATATATACATATATGACTAAAAACATTAAGCAGTAACCAAACTACTAGGAAACATTAGTCTTAGAATCTCATGAAAACTTCTACAATTATTTTCAAGAAACTATCAAAATAAAATATGTGCAATGCTGTAAACCTGTAAACTTGGAAATATAAATTTTGTCTTTAATATTAACTCAGATCCCCCAAAATCTGTATTTTCAAGGAAAGGAGTAGAAATTATATAGAGGGGTTATAAAGACTTATCTTAAATAAGCATTATTGAATAAATCCTAAGCAAAGAATCCAGAGTCGGCAGGACACTTATCACCAAGTGGATTTTGTAGAGTTTCCTGATTGGTAATGGTTTTATTATAGTTGTTCTAAACCATCTTGAATATTTTATGTTAATAACTCATTCTTTATCATGCAAAGTAATAAGACTTTTTAACCATTCTTAACTATTTCATTATCAGCATGCATTATACAGTTATTCTAAGTTAAATGCGTAATAGATGGGCCAGGAAGCCAACTTACTATGTGACTGTTGATAATTTCCTTATGTATTGTGGATCTTTCTTAATTCCTATGGAAATAAGCATAAAGTAAGTTTTTTTATTTTGTAGTTGTAGGCCTGTTTAGTTATGATAGCAAGTGTTCACAACCGTGGGGATTTGGCAATAGGGAAGAGGGAAACAAACAGATGACTGGCAGGCATGCATGCATAGTGTGGAGCAAGAGAGAATGCTACTAAGCTTGTTAGACAACTTGTTATCTATTTTATTAATTCCATTAATGAATTGTTTATGCTAAAATGGATCACTATACTTCTTTCTTAATTGTAACAGAGTAATGAAGAGATCAACTCCAAGTTCTCTTCCAGCTGTAAAATTTTATGATCTACTACAAAGTAAGTTATGGCACACATATAATAAAGTCTTTTAGGCTCTTATTTTTTCCAATGTTTAAATTATCTTCTTAAATTTCTGGCACCTACAACATGAAGACATAGCGACATGTAGTTTAACTATAAGTAAGACAGGACACTAGTGGTTGTATATCAAAAGGGCATCCTGAAACTATTATCCTGAGCTACAGCATTGGTAACTGCTGTAATGCGCATTATAAATGTTTATAGTATTAATTAATTCCAAAATAAGGCTGTGTGAAAGAGCCTCTTCTTGACAGATTACAAAATATGAGTATACTAATAATATGGTTAATGGTTGACCTATCTTCCTATTCTTTAGACAGATTGTTAGGTCATATGTGTGTAAAGTGTACAATGGAATCAGCCCATATGCCCCTCAATGCACAAATGTCCATTTGTGCAAAAACAGTGTATATATATAATGGAATTTTACTCATTCATTAGAAAGAATGATATTGTACCATTCCATTTGTAAAGAAATGGAAAAAATGTGTTAAGTGAAGTAAGCCAAGCCCAGAGGAGCAAAGGACGAATGTTTTCTCTCATATTTGAAAAGCTATATTGAGCTTATAAACATAAATATGCTGCCCAGTATGCAATTATATACAAATGTATTAACTGCAGCTAGGGGTACAGGTGCAAGCCACTAGTAGGTCTTGAAAGTTTTTAACAATGTATGATTACATGTGTTCAAGCCTACTAGCTCCTAAACATTGAATCTGCTTTAATTACCCTGAGCTTTGCAATTAAGAGAGGGTTAGCCGTGTCATGTAAAGAGAAGCAAAAACAACCCTCTCTGCACATTAATGCTCTTAGAAGTGTTAAGGCTGATCTTCAACCCATGTGCCCCCCCTCTCTTTCTCCCTCATATGCTTCTTTTTGTTAATGTTTTGTTGTTATTATAAAGGTGATATACAGAGGGATTACAGTTACATAAGTCAGGTAAATAGTTGATTTCTTTTTTGGATATCTTAGCTTAGACATTGCTCAAAGTCTGTATTTTCTTAATAATAAACTTCATTTTTATATCACCCAGGTTTCACTTGGCAGTTTACCAAAATTATCAACTGACAAAAAACAAAATATTGATTTTAATTTATTCTTGTACATATGAAATACAAAAGCTAAAGCTAACAGGTAGAGTACAAATTTTTAACGTACCTTCAACTCGAAAAATTTCAAGTTCTTTGTATAGTGCTCCAGATATAGTTGCAAATTTTTCCTTTAATGAATCATATAAATACACTCTAGATTTATTTGTGTCTATACAGGCTATCAGTTCATCTGAGATATAAAATTTCAGGCAATTATTAGTAATTTGGAATATTATGTTTAAAAATAAAGTTGTCTCTTCAGTTACATTACTTTTTTTAGATAAAAACCAAGAAGAAGTATATGACCTTTGTGAATTTTCAGTGGATTTAGGAAAATTCTGCAGCATAAAAAAACCAAAAATATAATTAGGAATGTCCAGCACTGTCACAGTGGATCCCTGAAGACTGCATCTTTGAACCATGCCCTCTAGGCCATGTTTATTAGCACCAGACTTATAAAGAAGAGTCAAGGAAGCATTTCCAAGTAGCTTTCGTAGAATTCTTTCCGCAGCCCACGTCAATATGGTTGTCTCTGCCATTGTCTTTTATCTGGTGAAAACAATTGTTAAATTGAATGGCTGGTATAAGCACAGATTTATCTTTCTATGTCCAGTGAATTTTTAATTCTCTGACTCAACTAAAGCATGTTGAGATTATAAGGCAAAAGCATGTAGAAATGGCATAATAACAGGTAAATATGAGAATGAGATAATGTGGAGATGGTGTATCTTATTACTATCTCAATATTAGTGACAAAGTAAACTGCAAAATGGATAAAGAATAACCAATAAATTAAAACAAGAGTTGATAAGTTTTATTCTTAATAAACCAGATAGTAAATACTCTAGAGGGGGTCACATAGTCTCTGTCATGATTACTCAGCTTCACCACTATGTCAAAACAGTAGTTACAGATAATCTGGGTTTTATATGATTTCTTCTAAAGTTCATGTGTTGGAGACTTTATTTTTAATATGTTCATGTTAGCAGATGGAATCTCTAAGAAGTAGGTCCTAGTGAGAGCTAGTTAGGTCAACTTGAAGCAGAATCTCATAAGAGAGTATGCTATTTCTCATGGACATTGGTTAGATCTTGCTTTGTTTGTTGTTTTTGTGTCGGCAGTGGGGTTTAAGCTCAGGGCCACAAACTATTGCTTAGATTTTTCAACTCAAGACTGGTGTTTCTACCACTAAAGCCACATCTTCACTTTCATTGGTTAGCTCTTATAAAGTCTATTATAAAAGTCTAAATTTGTTGCCACTCAGTTTCTCTAACAACCTGTATAGCTCTGTGATCTCTTCCTCACACATCTGCTCCCACATTGATGAAATCAACATGCGTTAAACTCATAGGTTGGCATATTGAATGAAAACCATTTAATATGACTAAAGGGAATTTGAATATAAGTAAATTAATAATGAATAAATAAATAGATATAAAACAAAAAATGAGGAACCTTCTACTTTGGAAAGAAAAAAAGTATTAATGAAGTCTAAAGAAAATTAAAATAATTAGCAGCTACTATAGAGCAAATTCACTACATTTCCCAAGACTGCTAAATACAAGTTGCTGTGGTTTGAAGATGTGTTCCAAATCCACATATTGCAGACTTAATCTCCAATGTAACCATGTTGAGAGATGGAGCCCACTGGAAGGTAGTTTATTATGAAGACTCTACCATCATGAATGTGTTAATACCATTTATGAAGAGAGTAAGGACTGTGAATTCGATCTCATGCACTTGGGCATGTATATTCTTTTCTATTTCCATCTTCCACTGTGGAATGACATGCCATGAAGGCTCTTATCACAACAGGCTATCGACCTTGAATATTCCAACATCCAGAAATACTAAGAAATACATCTCTGTTCTTTACAAATTATCCAGTCTTTGATATTATGTTGAAGCAACCTAACATCGACTAAGTCATAAGGTCAGCATATTAAAATCACCCTTATTTCTATATACCTAAAAAAAAGTTTCACATAATAATCTTAAAGTACCACTTACCCAAAACATGCAAGATAAAGAAAACTATACAGAAAAAAAAGTAAACAAAATTAGATAAACCTTAAATAAATGGAAATACATTGTATTTTTATGTGGGCATAAATTCTATAATATAATCTTAATAAGATTATGTGGGCATCCATAAGGTAATTCTAGAATTCATGTAGAAATAGTACTTTGACATCAGCCTTGTATTGGACCCAGATATATAATTCCTAATTTCCCTACCTTGGAGACTATATACAAATGCATTTTATTTTAAGTTTATATATTTGTAATAAATTAAGGCAACTAACAGAGTAAGAAAATATGAGATAAGTAACTTATGGCCTTGGTTAGATAGATGTTCCCAAATATGCTGATGACAATTATAAATGCTTCGGTATTTTTTCATAGCACCACAAAGGAAAGAAATATAGTGTGGGGGGGGGGGGGGGAGTTGGGAAAGTGGGAAGGGAAGGGATGGTAGGGGAAAACAAAGGAGGGGGTAACAATGTTCTATAGGAAGTATACATATTACCTTACTCATGTAACTGTAACCCCTCTGTACAGTATCTTTACAATAAAAATATATATTTAAAAAAGAAAGAAATATATATTGTGTGTTTTTGTATGTGCTGATACAGGTACTTTAATTCAGGGTCTGGGTGCTGTTCCTTGTTTTGTTTTATTTCTCTCAAGTTTAGTACTTTACCACCTGAGGAACCAGTGTTTTGATAGTTAATTGGAGATAAAGAGCCTCATGTACTTTCCTACTTAAGTTAGCTCAGATCTCCCCAGTAGTTAAAATGCTCGTATCTCCCCAGTAGTTAAAATTATAGACGTTAGCCACCAGTACCCAAATTGTGAAATATACATTTGCAAAGTTATTAGATGCAAGAAACTTAATACGTATTTGTATCTTAATAATATATTAGCTGTTAAAAATGTTACATTAGGGCTGGGAAGGTGGCTCAGTGGTAGAGCGCTTGCCTTGCATGCCTGAGGCCCTGGGTTCAATTCCTCAGCACCACATAAGCAAAAAATAAAAAGCCGGAAGTGGCACTGTGGCTCAAGTGGTAGAGTGCTAGCCTTGAGCTGAAGAGCTGAGGGACAGTGCCCAGGCTCAGAGTTCAGGCCCCATGACCTGACCCAAAAAAAAAAAGTTACATTAAACTAAAAAAATGACATGTTCTATTCTTAAATTTAATTGCTTACTAAGAAGAGGTGCATGTTTTAAAGCTATGGAACAATCTGACATTGGACCATGATCTTCCATAGGCTGAGAGTATGATCTAAGTAGTAGAAAACTGGCCAACTTCAAGAGTTCAAACCCCAAGACTGCTAAAAAAAAAATTACTAATAATACCAAAACACTCTGCAAATATAGAGAAAGATGATTTAAAAAATCCAGCACTGGAAACAGAATTCTTCTATCAAATTCAACCTAAGGAGGAGTCATCAAGGAGTTCTGAGCATACACAAACCCTTGAAAAATCCAAACACAGATCATTCTGAAAGTAAGAAGAGATAAGAAACCTTTCACAGAAAGGGGGAACAAAAGTGGCTATCAGTTTACTGCGCTACACAACTGCAAATCAGAAGATAGTGAGATGATATATTCAAATTATTGAAAGAAACAAATAAGGGTACTTTAATTGTACTTTAAAAATAAAGAGGTCATAATTACAGACTGTAATCCCAGCTACTTTCAAAACAGAGATTTGGTGACTGAAGTTCAATGTCAGCCCAGGCAATAAAAGTTTGTGAGACTCAGTCTCAACCAGTGACTGACTGCTGTGGTGCAAGCCTGTTATCCCAGCTACAAAGGCTGGGTACAGTAGCACACCACTGTCATCCCCAGCAATGCAGGAAAGCACAAATAGCCCAGACTAGCCCACACATAAAGCAAGATCCTTCCCCCAAAGCAACCAACACAAAAGCCAGTCTCAAAATGCAGAACTAGGAAGTATGAGGCCTTGCGTTCAATCCCCAGGACCAAGAAGCAAAAGTAAGAGGAAGAAAGAAGCTGGAAAAGAAGAGCTTAAAAGGAAAATGCTGAAAGCAGAATCATCACACCATGAGGAGAGAAAAGTATATTGGTGCATCTCTTACTATGATAACTAACATGTAAAGATGGAGTACAAACAGTTCACATGGACACAGTGAAATATTAGCTAGAAGTTGAAGTGGTTGAACTAGAATTATTTGTATAAGAAAAACTGAGAAACTCAATGTGATATCACTTATATAAAATGTTAAAACACAAATCAGTACTAGAGATTATATTTATATACATTATTCACACACAGCAAAAGTATAAAAATGAGCAGAACAATTATACCAAGTCTACATAATGTTTCTGTAGAGTCATAGATTAAGTTTATAGGTAATAACTTTGTTTTTAGATTAAAAACTCCTAATTAAATAAAAAACATCATATTTAAAATCTGAGAGAAATGTGAAGATAGTATACTAAAGTTCATTTCTGACTATTGTTACCAGTATGTGAAATTTTAAAGGAGCAAATGAAGCAGAAAATTATTAGTAGCAATTAAGAGAAAATTATTTGTAGCAACTTCACCCTGAAACTCTTAAAGAAAAGAAAGCAAGCTATTTTCTTAACAGGCAGCTAGGAACAGAATGGCAGGAAGTTGTTTACCTGTTGCTGAGGTGGATGTGGGTGGCAAAGAAGATTCAGTTTGTCTGAGTTACAGAGCAGCTAGAAGTTTAGGGAGTGAAGGTTCTTTATATGGTCTTTGCTTCCAGACTGAAGAGAAGAAAGGAAACTGAAAGTCAACTCCAGGAAGCTCAACTGGCAGCAAGCCAACTGCCCTTAACTTTGTTTCCTCACTCAGAAGAACAGAAGTAAGAGAACTCTTGCTCAGAGCAGGAAAGATATCCGTGGTTGTCTGTGTAACCCACATGGAAGCATATATGAATTGCCTATTCTAATTTTAAAAATTCAGAAAAATGATAACATTTCGAATCCATTCAACTAGGCACTTGTCTATACAACTACAATCTTTTCTATTTCCTCAAGAACAACCCCATAATATGGGAATAATTAGTATTCTTGCTTCTCAAAGTACAAAAAAAAGTTTAAAAAATGAAAACAAATGTTGCAATAGCAACTTGACTGGCAGAATAATGGACCTGACTTTTTGTCAGAACTTGGACTTTCACTGGAACAAACAGACAATGATTTGGCTTTTCCTAAATTCTGATCACACTGTGTTCTGCTTTCTCACCTATATTTCCCCTCCATCCATACTGATCTAAACATCAGGAAAAGAGAATGCTGACAAGATCCCTTTTGGATAGGTTTAACTTTAGAACTGTAGTAATGCTAGATAATAATAAATAAACGATGAATATCAGCCAAACCGTGTGGATGCCAAAACAGAAGGTAGCAAAAGTAGGTAGCAAAGAGCAAAACTATGTATCAATAAGCAACATAACAATACAAAAGAGGAAGGAGAGGAAAAGAAGGAATAAAAGTGGTCCATGCAGCAGGAACCAGAAGACACAGCTACAGTTAATAACTGTGTAAGCAATTAGGGCTCAGCTGTGCAATTTGAAACTAATTAGTGTTTACACTAGAATTAAAGAAAATACATTGTTGCCAACAGTGGGACAGCTTCTCTATGTCAGAGAAATTACAAATGAAGAAAGGGATAAGAGTAGTAGGACCCCTATGGTGTTGTATTAAAATTATAGGAACTAGAATAAACACATAAATACAAAAAGAATATATATGAATGTGTGGGTGAGTATTAGTGTGTTAACATGTTCCTATACTATGTACTAAGAAAGTTAGAAAGAATGAAATAATGGCATTCCTCTGTCAGTGAGCACACAGTTCAATGTGTTTTCAGTTTCTTTTGTATTTTATTTTATTTGTTTTCATTCTGAACTTAGGGCCTGGCTCTTGCCAGGCATACATTCTACCACGTGAGCCATTCCCTCAGCCGGTGATTTTGCTTTTTTTTTCAAGTAAGATCTCCTTTTCACATATATGTAAATAACTATGTGTACATATTATATATTAATGATTATAGTTTTTATATTATATGTAATGAAGGAAGCAGCAAATCAGTGTAAGTAAAATTCCACAGTACTAACTTTTTAAAAATTAAGCTCAGGCCCTCACACTCCTGCCAGGTTTTGCACTTTATGCTGGTGCTCTGCCACTTAAGCAATGCCTCTAGTTCCAATATTGTAATACATTCTGCAGGTAAGATCAATCACTGTATGCTACAATTAATTCCTAGGAGCCTGATGAGAAGTAAAGTATTTAACTAGTCTCAAAGAAGTTTCCCCTAAAAGATTATTTTTCTTATTTCAAAAGAACAAGAAGGTCATGATTTAAAAGCCAACAAATAACTCCTGCAGACTTTATCAGGGTAGACACACTGATGCTAGGCTTACCTAGCTACCATGCATTAGAGACTTGATAGGAGGCATTATAAGAGAAGAGGGGAAAACTACAAACTAATATGAACATGTGTGAAGAAAATATTAAGAAAAAATATTAGAAATTAAATCTTGGAATAAATTAAAAGTCATTTCAATGACAGGTGCATTGTGGTGATGTGTTTTTAATATTAGAAAAGTAATATATTTAGACAAATTAATAAGTAAATCTGATTTTAAAAGAATAATAAGATCACATCAATACATTAGAAACTATTTGACAATGCACTGGTAATTAAAGAGATAGATCCTTAACAAACTAGGGAAATAGTCTTTTTAAATCTGATCTAAATTATTTGATAAAAAATCAAAGTGAATAAACAAAAATAGCATGCCAAATCAATAATGGTATGATATAGAAAACAAAATTTTCTCTAACAAAAATGGTTTCTATTGTCAGTCCTAGTTAACATTATTTTAGTCTGACCAGCCAAAAAAGTCAAAGTGTAAGCATAAAAGGCAAAAGTCTCAGAAAAAATTGAAACTACCTTGAAAATATAAGAGAATTTATAGACAAACTATGTCTATTTGGCAAGTTATGTGAATAAATTAAATAATAAAAGTCACAAACATTACTATATGAAACAGCTAAATTATTTATAATAATGTAACTATACATCAGAATTTAGGAATACATCTATCAGTAGAATATAAGAGTAAAACGAATTTGAATTGGAAAATACACCATATTTGCCAGGTTCCAGCAGCTCATGCCCATAATCCTAGCTCTCTACTCAGGAGGCTGTGAGATCTTTGAGCTGAAGATTATATCTCAAAGCCAGCCCAGGCAGGAAAATCCGTGAAACTCTTAACTCCAATTAACCACCCAAAAGCTAGAAGTGGAACTATAACTCAAATGGTTGAATGGTAGCAGAAAAACAACTGGTACAGCACCCAGCCTCTGAATTCAATCCCTAAGACCAGCACACACACACACACACACACACACACACACACACACACACACACACACACACACACATTCATGGTTTGGATGATAAAAGGCTATTATATTGAATTTTAAATTGATCAAAGAACTTAAATAGATATTTTTCCCATCAAGAAATAACAAATCATCAAAATTAGTAGGAAAAGAGCTTCTTACCTCTATGAGAAATCATTTGGCATCCATTAAGGACTGCGATGAACTTCCACAGCCTCTCCCAAAGCAAGCAATGCTGGCAAAGATGTGGAGAAGCAGAAATCCTTACACATAATTATCATATGCCCAAAATAGTGTGGAAAGCAGTGTGGAGTAGGAAGGCTCCTAAAAAAAAATATGAGAACCTCTGATTGACCCAGCAGTCCTAATTCTTGGTATTTTACCAAAAGAATTGAAATCAAGATCTCAAAAACATATTCACACGATATGAAGATTATGATAATCTTCACAATAGTAGACATGTGGAAAGAAATAGCTATCCATAGACAAATGGAATAAAAGTGCTACAGAAAAATGATCAGTTTTAGCTTTAAGGATGAAGGAAATTCATTAATTCTACAGCATAAGTGAACTTTGAGACATTGTCCTAAGTGAAATGAACACATCACAGAGAAAAGATTCTGAAAGATTCCTGTTCCATGAGATATCTAAATATTAACAAGAATTCATTATCAGGCATACAGATGATGCAAGCAAAACAAGTGTTTCACAGAGTTGTGCAAGATTATGCCTATAAATAATAAAACTATATCACAGACTTTACAATCTGTTGAGAGAGCAGATGCCATGTAAAGTGTTCTTATCACTTCTTAAAAGATGTTATGTTAACCCCCCATACCAAAACCCATAGATTAAAATATAAGTAGCAGAGGTTTACAGTAATAATGAATTGATGAAAAGCAAAATTGAAAGATTAGTAGATCTCACATGTAAGGACTAGTTTTCCCACATAGAAGGAATGATCTAGGACAGAAAAATGTCCTGGTCACATTGAGATACAGACCTTGGATGATGAAGACTCACTACCTGACTAAGAAACATCTTTTTGGAGCACTGGTGTGAACTCACCCTCAACAGTAATGGGGAGGGGAAAGCTGGTCTCTCCATGGAGTCAAACTGCTACAAAGCCACCTTAGGGGGGACGCTGGAGAAAAGGAGGGTGCTGGGTGCTGCTGGCCACCATGCAAGTTGGCACTGTCAGCTGCAGGAGTGGACCTCAGAACCTCTTCAGTGTCTCTCCAGTGCCCTCTACTGTACGATCCATACAAAACCATCATAAATACTTACTATGGTCTGAAATTCGGGCCCTCCAAATTTCTTGTGTTAAAACCTAACCCACAATGTCATGTATTTATAGGTGAGCTAAAAATCCTAAATATGACTAGTGCCTTTATAAAAGTGGTACCTCATGTCCCTCTCTCTCTGAAACCATTTGAGAACACAGCTAGAAGTTTCTATGAACAAAAATATGGGCCCTAGGTGGAGAATAGATCTGTCTAAATTTTGATCTGGCATTCCCTAGCCTTCAGAACTATTTAAAAACTCATTACATCTTGTTTTGTTAAGCATCATGAATAGACAGTGTGCTACTGATGTACTGATAGAAAAAAATGACCAAATGAACAAAGTAGAGTACAAAGACAGATTCACATAAGGACAGTGAAGAAAGCATGTTTTATTTAATACATGATTCTGGGCATCCATTAACTGGTATATCAAAAAATTAATGTTCAGGGTACACCTCAAATAAATTCCTGGTAAATTACATATACTTGTATTTTCAGGAGTAAAATGCATGAAAAATACCATTGTCAAATAAGATGCAAAAAAATGCCAGCCATACAATATAATAGATATATAATATATAATATGTATTATAAGAAATATATAATAGAAACACTGAATTTGAGAACTTCTTGTCAAAATACATACCAGTAGGAATAAAAATACATTCCATTAACTTAGGGAATTTATTTACAATTCCTTTAGTATTCAACAAAGTATTTATATCTGAAGTATTTAACAGACAGCCACAAATAAATATAGACCAACAGTAGAAAGAGGCTATTTGGAATGTGGCCAATGGGTATTAGTAAAGGTACTCAACTCTGCGAATCATCCAGAAAACAATCATTGAAACCATAATGAAATATCACTACTTATCTATAAGAGTGAGGAAACTCAGAAAGGCCACCCCATGTGATAATGCAGCACAATGAGAAAGTTAACTGTGAAAGACTAAATTAGTAGCATTCTAAACATATTAGGAGATACAAAAGCTGAACATATGTGTACCTAAGAAGCCAATGATTCTATTCCTCCTTACACATACTCAGGTACACAC